GCCGTCTGCACCCAGGACAGAGCCTGGCCAGGCTGCGGTCAGTGAGGGAGCCTGAGGGTCAGCCGTGGCGCAGCCACCTGGACTCCTGCCCAGTTCTGGGCCCGGCCGCCCTGCCGGCCGCCCTGTCGTTGGGAGCGGGCAGTGCTCCCAGGAACTCCGCTCCGAGCCCCAACCCGCTTCCCAGCTCTCGGGTTTGCCTGTGGCTGAGGTCCCGGCATCGGCCTCCTGCTGGGGGTTGGCGAGAGCCCAAGACAAGTCCGCTGGTGAGAGCGTGGCTGCACAGAAGGCACTACCCATCCCTTCTGCTGATTAGAAGCAAGTGAAGGAGGGGTCCCCGGGCAGGAGCCCAGCCGCAGGGGGCGCTGTGGAGACGTGCGGAGCAGACACGGCGGAGCCAGGAGAGACACCATCCCAGGATCCCAGGCGGTGGGGCCAGCACCCACCCTCTCAGGGCAGACAGCGTACGCACTGAACTCGGCCCCACCCAGCGGGCCTACCTGATGTCCACAGGACGTTCCACGGCGGGACACATCCTTCCCAGGCACACGGATGTTCAGCGAGAGCAGCCACACGCGGGCCCTTTAACCACAGCCAAGTTAGACTAGACCAGTGATGGCGAACCTATGACACACGTGTCAGAGGTGACACGCGAACTCATTTTTTTGGTTGATTTTTCTTTGTTAAATGGCATTTAAATATATAAAATAAATATCAAAAATATAATTCTTTGTTTTACTATGGTTGCAAATATCAAAAAATTTCTATATGGCACCAGAGTTAAGTTAGGGTGTTTCAAAATGCTGACATGCCGAGCTCAAAAGGTTCGCCATCACTGGACTAGACACTACAAAACGTCACGGGCTAAAGAGAATTCGAGTAGAAGTTGTAACAGGGCTGGGAAAACCCCTGTGTTCCAGAGTTAACCAGTCTACTTCTAAATAACCACGAAATGTGACAACATTCTGAACTGAGTGAAAATTAAAGCATCACGCTTGGGAGATGGAACTAGAACCTGTGATGTGGTGTGTGCATGTGTGTGACGTGTGCGGCTGTGCACAGCATGCATGTGATGTGTATAGCTAGGCAGGGCATGTGTGTGATGTGTATAGCTATGCAGGGCATGTGTGTGAGGTGGTGTGTAGTGCAGAGCATGTGCGTGACATGGTATGTGGCCATGCACAGAACATGTGTGTGATGTGTGTGGCCATGCAGAGCATGTGTGACATGGTGTGTAGCTGTGCACAGCACATGTGTGATGTGCTGTCTCTCCTTCAGGTACATCGAGTACATGTGTGACATGGTGGCGGAGGAGCCCATCACGCCCCATAGCAAGCCGATCCTGGTGCGGGCCATCGTCATGACGCCCGTGCCGCTGTTCAACAAGCAGAGGAGCGGCTGTCGGCCCTTCTGCGAGGTCTATGTGGGGGACGAGCGCGTGGCCACCACGTCCCAGGAGTACGACAGGATGCGGTGAGCCAGGCCAGGGCAGCGAGGGCGCACCGGGAGGATGGGGGGGCCCTGGCAGCTGGAGCCCCGCCTCAGGTCCCCAAGGCGCAGAGGCTGAGCGGCAAGCTCCCCATGACGGCGTGCTGAGAAGCTCCATGGAAGTATTGCCTGGAGCACCCCCCCAGGGGTAGTTCGTAGCAAAACCAGGGAGCTGAGACTGCTGGGGCCGGCGTGCTGTGCCCCAGGCCTCGCTGGGCCGCCCCATGGCCTGGCTTTGTCTCACGGGGACCCGCCTTCCTCCCCACAGGGATTTCAGGATCGAGGACGGCAAAGCCGTCATCCCCCTGGGCACGGCCGTCCAAGGGGACGTGCTCATTGCCATCTACCATGCGCGGTCCACCCTGGGAGGCAGGCTGCAGGCCAAGGTGAGCGCGCTCCGCGGGCCGCTCCTTCCTGCCAGCCCCGCGGGATCCTA